ATATTTAAAATAAGATGTTTATCCTGTATTTGATTGTGTTTATCTGCAGTTAGTTACACGAATTCAGATATGTGATGAAATCGGATAGGGATGAACGGGTTTAAGAGTTTTTAAGAGTTTAAGAGTTTTTAAGAGATTTAGCCAAATGCTTTATAATATAGTATAGATATAGATATATGTGTATGTATGTGTATTATGGCAGCTTGTTATAGCTCGACTAAGCACTTGCCTTCCGTCAAACTTACTTAAACATTTTTTGTTTTGTTTAACAAGTGAGATTTCCTTGTTATGTTATCGAATAGTGATCATAGAGAATGATATGGTTTAAGAGTGAAACAAAGGGTTTAGACGAGACGATCATTTGGTGACGAGGTGGATCCATCACTTTGCTTAGCTTTAGTCCTCGGACACTGACAAGAACTAGCGGTGTGAAAATTTGATTTAATGCTTTTAATTTTTGGTTCAATATATATGGTGGTCGACACAAGTTTCAAAAGGAAAATCAACTATAAAGCATCAAAAGATGCGATACAAATTTGAAATCACAATCATTTATAACCAAAAAAAAAAAAAAAAACTCAAACTAATTATCGTTCTTAGGTGGTCAAAACATAAAAATTAATCAGATTACAATCTACGATTGTTCTTTATGAATTTATATATTTTGAACGCGATTCATTACATCATCATTTGTAACATTTGAAAACCCTTCTTTCTACTACATAACTTGCATAAAACGTGGAAAAAACCATCACAACCTTGGGACGAGGACTCATTGAGGAAATCTAAAATTCATTTAAACTATAGAAGTATGGATTAGAGATGTACAAATAAGCCTGGTTGAATTGACCCGGTCTAAAAAAACATAGTCAAAGCTAGAGATGGCCAAATGGGCCCAGCCCGGCCCGTAACCGCCGGAGGACCGGAACCGGGACCGGAATAGACCGGTTATGGACCGCCGGTTATGAACCGGTTATGGATTTTAACGTTTTTTAGGACCGAGACCGGTTAAGACCGGAACCGGTTATGTAACCGGTTATAGGACCGGACCGGACCGGCCCGGTCAACAAAAGTCAACGTGTATATATATATATATAACAAAACGTATTTATATACATATATATATATATATATATATATATATATATAACAAAACAATTTTTTAAACGTATTTATAAAATTAAACGTATACATATATAACAAAACATATTTTTAAACGTATTTATATAAAACATATTAAAAATAACATATTA